ACCACATAACCTATTTAAAAAATTAAGAAAAGTATGAATGCATAAAATATATGTAGATATTAGTCTATTTTATCACTTACTATCAAATATACACAAATCTATGATGAAAAATTTGTCAAAGCATATGCACACAAACTGATCTTACATAGCACCATTTGCAGTTGAGAAAGAAAAACAAATGCATAGATGCAGTACTAAATTATAACTGCATAAAATTAATTGTTGTACATACTATACTATTGTAATGATTTTGTTGCCACCTCCTTTTGCTGTTGAGGGGGTCAAGTGTTGTGAGTACCACTTAAAATATCATGTGATGCTAATCATCTATGAGTGAGCAGTTTCTCTTTCCAGTAAAATGTGAATTGCAGTAAAAAGTCATCTCTTGAGGTTCTCACATTTTTTTTTTATCATATTTAGTGTAATACTGTAAACCTTGAATAACCCCAAAGAATCCACATGAAGTGCCACTAATGATGTTGGAAGTGGCCCCAAGAAGCAGAGAAAAGTCATGACATTACAAGAAAAAGTTCAGTTGCTTGATATGTACTGTAGTTTGAGGCCTGCAGCTTTGATTGTCTGCCATTTCAAGATAAATGAATCCAGCATTGTAAAAAAGAGAAAGGAAAGTTTATGAAGCTGTTACTGCAGCTACACCAGCAGGCACGAAAGTCTTGCATATTTTGTGAGACACCTTTTTATTTTGTATTGGAAATGCAGTTTTTTGGCTGGGCATGGGGGCTCAGACTGTAAGCCCAGCACTTTGGGAGACTGAGTTGAGAGGATTGCCTGAGCCCGGGGGTTTGAGATCAACCTGAACAACTTGGTGAGACCTCGTTTCTACAATAAATCACAAAAAACTAGCTGGGCATGGTGGCATGCGTCTATAGTTCCAGCTACTTGGAAGGCTGAGGCGGAAGGATCATCTAACCCCAGTAGGTCGAGGCCGTGGTGGTCATGAGCGTGCCACTGCCCTCTAGCCTGGGTGACAGAGTGAGACTCCAACTAAAAAAAAAAAAGCAGTTTTTATGTGGGGACAGGATACTATAAGAAAGATATGCCTATGGACTCATATGATTTAAGAAAAGGCAAAGTCATTATATGGCTACTTAAAAAGAATGGTGAAAGATCTAAAACTGGAGACTTTAATGCCAGAAAAAGGATGGTGTGATAATTTTTTTTTTTTTTGAGTTGATGTATCACTCTCTCGCCTAGGCTAGAGTGCAGTGCATGATCAGGGCTCTAGTGATCCTTCCACCTCAGCCTTCCAAGTAGCTGGGACTACAGGCACACACTACCACGCTCAGCTAGTTTTAAAATTTTTTTGTAGAGACAAATTCTTACTATGTTGCCCAGGTTGGTCTCGAACTCCTAGTCTCAAGTTGACCTCCTGCCTTGGCTTCCCAAAGTGCTGAGATTACAGGCGTGAGCTACTGCACTCAGCCAGTTTGATAACTTTAAAAAGGGAAACTATGGGGGGGAGGGGGATGGGATTAACAGTAGCAAATATCTGTCGGGGGATGGGAAAACACTTCTTATCTACAGGGTGCCTGAATGAAACGTCATTGTACACCTAACCCTTAACTGTACCCCACAAAACCATAATAAAAAATACTGATTAATGAAAAAAAAAAAAAAAAAGAGGTTTGGTTTGGAAAATATCTAGATTACAGGAGAAACAGCATCCTCTGACCGAGCAACAACAGAGGAGTTCCCAGATGCTATTAAGAAAATGGAGGAAAAAAATAAAAAAAATAAAAAAAAAAGAAAATGAGGAGAAAGGATATCTGCCTAAACAGGTATTTGATGCAGAGATGAAAGTGCCCTATTCTGCAAAAGAAACACCACAAAGGGCATTTATTAATAAGGAAGAGAAGTGAGCCCCAGGATTTAAGGCAGGAAGGGACAGGCTAGCTCTATTGTTTTGTGTAAATGCAGTCGAGATTAGGACTGCCCTTATATATAGATCAGGACTACCCTTATCTATAAGGCTACTAACCCTCAAGGCTTGAAGGAGAAAGATAAATATCAGTTGCTAGTCTTTTGGTTGTGCAAGAAGGCCTAGTGATGGGAACCCTTTTTCTGGATTGATTCTATTTAAAGTTCTTTTGATATTGTATAATACCCCTAGGCACCTAGAATCCCATAAGTTCAACACTAAAGGCATAGGAGTGGTCTACTTGTCTCCAAACACAATGTCTCTAATTCAGCCACTAGATCAGAGGGAAACAATGACCTTTAAGGCTCATTACACACAGTACTCTATGGAAAGGATTGTCAACACTATGGAAGAAAACTCTGATAGAACATCAAGACAGTCTGGAAGGATTGTACCATGGAAGATGCTATTGATGTTTTAGCCATAAAAGCCATTAAACTCAAAACAACACATTCCTGCTGGAGAAAACTGTCCAGATGTTTTGTATCACTTTACAGGATTTATGACAGAGCCAATCAAGAAAGTCATGAAAGAATTGTGAATATGGCAAAAAAGAGGGGAGAGGTGAGGGATTTCAAGGCATGAATCTTGGAAAAACTCAATAACTCATAGACACCACCAGAGAAGTTAAGAAAAGACAACCTGTAGATAAATGTTTCTGAACCAGTACCAGACAGTGGGGAAGAAGATTTAGAAGAAGCAGTGCTAGAAAACAAACTGACATTAGACAATCTGACAGAGGGTTCTGATTATTCACAACTGCTTTTGACTTATTTTACGAGGACCTTTCTGATTACTGCACTGAAACTAAAGCAGATGGTGGAAGAATTGGTATCATATAGACATGCTTTTAGAGAAGTGAGAAAGCAAAAATGTTACACTGAAATTACGAAGTATTTCTATAAAGTTACACTGAGTATGTATGCCTACATTTCTGTCTTCCCTTCTACCTCTTCCACTTTGTCTGTTTCTGCTACACCTGAGACAGCAAGACCAACCCCTCCTCTTCTTCTTCCTCCTCCTCGGCCTACTCAACATAAAGATGATGAGGATGAAGGCTTTTATGATGATTCATTTCCATGTCATGAATAGTAAATATAATTTGTCTTGTGATTTTCCTAATAACATTTTCTTTTCTTTAGCTTACTTTATTATAGGAAACAAATTACAGTATATAATTCATATAGCATACAAATATGTGTTAACTGACCATTTATGTTATTGGTAAGGCTTCTGGTCAACAGGCTACTAGTAGTTACGTTTTTGGGGAGTCAAAAGTTTTATATGGATTTTCAACTGCACAGGGCATTGGCACCCCTAGCCCCTGCATTGTTCAAGGGTCAACTGAACTCCCTTTCCAATCTTTATGTCCTTTTACTTATTTTTCTTTCCAAATTACACTATCTAGAACTTCTAGATAGTGAATATAATTGAGTATAATTTTTTTTTTTGAGTTGGAATCTCATTCTGTCACCCAGGTTTGAGTGCAGTGGCACGTTCCCAGCCTCCGCAGCCTGGACCTGCTGGGCTCAGGTGATCCTTCCGTCTCAGCCTTCCAAGTAGTTGGATCTATAGGTGCACGCTAGCATGCCCAGCTAATTTTTTTTTTTTTTGATTAATTGTAGAGATGAAGTCTCACCATGTTGCCCAGGCTGGTCTTGAACCTGCAGGCTCAGGCAATCCTCTCACCACGGCCTCCCAAAGTGCTGGGATTATAGACTTGAGCCACCGTGCCCGGCCTGGAATATAAATTTTAAGTTTGGACATCTTTGCCTTTTTCCCCTTCATAAGGGGAAAACTTTCAATCCTGTTATATTAGATATGATGTTAGCTATATGGTCCTTTATTCCTGATTTGCTGAGAATTTTTGTTATGAAATATCTGTTGAATTTTAGCAGATGCTTTTTTTTTTGCATCTACTGAGATGATCATTTAATTTTCTTCTTTATTCTTTTAATGTGGTGAATTGTGATTGATTTTTTTCAGTGTTAAACTATTTTACATTTCTGGGATAAAGCCTATGTTTTAGTGATTGGTTAATCCTTCTGTATATTGTAGAATTCAGTTTACTAATTTTTTTTTTTTTTTTTTTAAGTCAGAGTCTTACTCTGTCACCCAGGCTGTAGTGTAGTGGCACGCTCACAGCCACCACAACCTCCACAGCCACCACAACCTCCACCTGCTGGACTCAGGTGATCCTTCCACCTCAGCCTTCCAAGTAGCTGGAACTATAGGTGTGTGCCACCACGTCCAACTTATTTTTTGATTTATTGTAGAGACAAGGTCTTTGTTGCCCAGGCTAGTGTTGAATTCGTGGGCTCAGGCAAATCCTATTGCCTCTGCCCAAAGTTCTGGGATTACAGGCGTGAGCCACTGCGCCTGGCTACTAATCTTTTTAAAGGACTTTTATGTTTACATTCAAAAACAGTAGTGATTTATAGTTTTCTTGTAATATCTTAGTCTGGTATTGGTGGCTTCAGAATGAATTGATTTGTGGTTCCTTCTATTATTTAGAAAAGATTGTGTAAAATTGATATTTAAAAAAAATGCTTGATGGACTGGGCATGGTGGCTCAAGCCTGTAATTCCAGCACTTAGGGAGGACAAGGCGAGGGGATTTCCTGAGCCCACGGGTTTGAGAACAGCATCAGTAAATCAAAAAATTAGCTGGGCATGATAGCGTGCGCCCCTAATTCTGACTACTTGGAAGGCTGAGGCGGAGGGATCACCTGAGCCCAGCAGGTTGACACTGGTGTGTAGACTTGAGCATACCACTGTACTCCATTCAGCCTGGGCAATGGAGTGAGACTCCAACTCAAAAAAAAAAAAAAGAGTTTCATATTTAAGTAGTGTGACTATGTTGAAGTGGATTACGGAGTGACAGGTATGCATGGAAATAGATAGCCAGGATAGACAACTTTGAGAATTCTGACTGAAGAGAAGACAGGGTAGTCAGTCACTAGAGAGGCATAAAGATTGAATCAAGCATTAAAGTGTGGCTGTTTTCTTGATTGTTATTGTGTATTTTAAATGTGCTTCTTTGTGACTTAATTTGAATGCAGACACATCAAGAAATCTGGAATTTCATGAAATACATAGCACTGGGAATGAACCACCTTTGCTGATTATGATTGGCTACAGTGATGGCATGCAGGTCTGGAGCATCCCTGTAAGTATGAAGGTGGTTGAATTCATAAAGCATAATACTTCCCAGCATGTTAGCTTATGTGAAATTTGGAGGTACTTTTATAGTTTTTAAGATCTCATCTATTTATTTCACAAGCAGTGACTAAGAACTGCTGTATTGGCCATATCATACAGGGCACTGAGAATGAGGGGCAAGTGAAATTAGTGAAGTGGGTTGATTATTGTGCATATCATGTTATGTGCAAGATCTCATTTTCCTTCATGGTAATCCTATTAAATAGGTATATTTAGTATTTTTCCTATTCTACTGAAAAATAAGCTGAGGCTTTTGTAAGGTCTTTTTTTAAAATTAGCATTAAAAAAAATTTTTTTTTGAGTTGGAGTCTCACTCGTCATCCAGGCTGGAGTGCAGTGGCATGTTCATAGCCACCGCAGTCTCGACTTGCTGGGCTCAGGCAATCCTTCTGCCTCAACCTTCCAAGTAACTGGAACTACAGGTACGTGCCACCACACCTGGCTAATTTTTGATTTATTGTAGAGATGAGGTCTCGCCATGTTATCCAGGTTAGTCTTGAACCTGTGGGCTCTGGCAATCCTCTTGTCTCTGCCTCCCAAAGTGCTGGAATTACAGTTGTGAGCCACTGAGCCTGGCCAATTTTATGGTTCTTTTGCAGTGGGAAGCTCTAGGCAAATAGAATTTGAATTTGTACCTTTAATAAGTGCATTCACCAAACTTGTTTTATGTCCTGTGAGTGTGTGTGTTTGTATGTGTTTCAGCTAGAATTGGCTTCTTTTTATCACATTTTTCTTTTGTGTAATATTGTTGCTTCCTAAAAGATATATAAGCGCAGGTCGGGTGTTGTGGCTCATACCTCTAATCCCAGCACTTTGGGAGATTGAAGTGAGGGGATTGCCTCAGTTCACAGGTTCAAGACCAGCCTGGGAAACTTGGTAAGACTTCATCTCTGCAATACTACAATAGGTCAAAAAATTAGCCAGATGTGGTGGCATGTGCCTGTAGTTCCAGCTACTTGTAAGGCTGAGGTGGAAGGATCGCCTGAGTCCAGTAGGTCAAGGCTGTGGTGACTGTGAGCGTGCCACTGCACTCCAGCCTTGGTGACAGAGTGAGACTCCAACTCAAAAAAATAAAAGAAAAAAGATGTATAAGCAAGCATGTATTACCTCAGTTTTAATGACTGTTAAGATGTTTTCAAATACAGAATTTGGCCTCAATGGCTTAAGCATTGCTAAGGAATGTACACGTTAACCTCATAGTTATTTAGCATTTTAGGTTAAAAAATTATTTATTATTTGATAAGTCACTTGTGATGAACCTTGGTCTTTCGAATTGTATAATTATCATATTATTAGGCATTTTGGATTGGCACTTTTGTTTATCTTGTTTTTAAAAATTTGGCTTTACTTTACAGAGGTAGAAGAACCATCCTTATGTCATGAAATTTGAAGGATTCTTTCTCTTTTGCTCTTTGGGATGTGTAGTTGACATTTTCCAAGGCCCTGCATTGTTCTTTGTAAATTCAGTAGCATGCAAAAGGCATGGACAAAGGGATTAAAATCTGACTTTTTTTTCTTACCAAGGGACACACTTCTGGGTTGTGATTGAAGGAAAGGATTTTGGAATGTAACTTTTCTTTTTGATGGAGACTGCATTTAGCTCCATTAGGCTGTTTGTTGACAGAATTGAAGGCAAAAAGGAAGCTGTAACTTTAACAAGAAGGTTGTGCCTGTGTCATTAGGGGTGTTGGCTGGATTGAGCACATTCCTTTGGTGGTACTCAGGTTGCTTTAACTGCCCACTTGTTTGGGTTATAATTAGAGGTATTACTTTTAATAGTTTTAAAGTTAACTTGTGTTTATCTCTGAATAATTTAAAGGTCTTTATTCCTCCTTATGCCCAGCTTATGTTTTGAGAAACTTAAATAATCTTTTTTTGATGGAATTTTCTTGGACTAATTGTATACTGTTAAAGAATCCCTGTGAGTACTGTTCCAAGAATTAAGAGGCAGTCTGGGAAAATAAGCTTCTTATGTTCCTTTGATTGAGTGCTCAACATAGTCAAAGAAGTTACATACACATTATTCCTTCTAAGGGAGAAGATACCCTGTTTTACAGGTGGTAAGGTGCTTATAAGAGGCTGAACTGGTATTCAAACCTGGTTGTGTCTGAATTCAAATTCAAAGCCTATGACTTAAAAACTGTACTTCATCATTTCCTGAATGTGATAACTGAAAATATGCCATGCAGATAGTTTTGTAGTTTAGTTTTAGTTTTTGTAGGTGTGAAGGGAGTTATCCCTTTTCCTCTGAAATAAACTGACGGAGTAACAGGAGAAAAAGCATACAAATGTACTGGAGCCACACAAAAGATGAGAAGGGCCAGACGGCTGAAGCTTATGTAGCACCCTCTTCATAGGAGAGCAAGAGATAGGAGAAACGTAGTCAATTTTGAGGGTAGCAAGTTATTTTTAGGAGAGTTAGAATGGGCCCAAAGAGCAGACAGTGGCTTTGGAAATGGGACCTGAGAAGTGACAATAGCCTGAGACAAAATCTGTCTAGGTGTAGTATCATTCCTTAGTCTACTTTCCTGCAATATGAGTTTGATCTTCCCCGGTTAAAGAGATTTCAGGAAGGGGATAGAAGGCAATTGTGTTCCTTTTGGAGGTGCTTCAGAAAAGGGAACTTCAGAGAGTTATACCCAGTGCTTGGTGGGGAGAAGCAAGAGAATGTCAGAAAGTCCTTGGTTCTAAGGTTGATTTGAAGGCCTTTTAATTTTTTTTTTAGCTTAGAATGCTCAGCATGTCAAAATGCTGTACTTTGGAATATTGTTTTCTGAACCCCAACATTTTCATTTGCAAAAGATCAGGATGTACTTCAAATACCCCTAATTATCTTTTACAGACTACTGTGAGTGTTAGCCATTATTCTCTGTGAACCCTTCTGAAACTTACCAGTCATTGATTCACTAAGCATGTGCTATGTGCTAGACAATGAGGCGCTTATGTTGGCTAACCTAGAAAAAATGACCTTCATGGATCTTTGTCAACTGTAATTCATACAGTTGGCTATCCATATCCATGGGTTCCACATCTGCAAGTTCAACCACAGATCAAAAATATTCAGAAAAATAAAGGGCAGTTGTGTATGTACTGAACATGAGCAGACTTTTTTTCTTGTCATTATTCCCTAAACAACTTGGTATAGTAACTATTTACATAGCATTTACATTGTAGTAAGTATTATAAGTATCTAGAAGCCAGGCATGGTGGCTAATGCCTGTAATTCCAGCACTTTGGGAGGCAGAGGCAAGAGGATTGCCTGAGCTTAGGGGTTCGAGACCAGCCTAGGCAATTTGGCAAGACCTCGTCTCTACAATAAATCTAAAAATTAGCCAGGTGTGGTGGTGCATGCCTGTGGTTCCAGCTCCTTGGAAGCCTGGGAGGAAGGATCACTTGAGCCCAGCAGGTTGAGACTGTGGTGGCTGTGAGTGTGCCACTGCACTATAGTCTGGGCGACAGAGTGAGACTCCAACTCAAAAAAATAAAATAAAATAAGTAATCTAAAGATGATTTAAAGTAAATGGGGGGTGTGCAGGAGAATGTGCATAGGTTGTATGCAAATACTATGCCATTTAATATAAAGTCTTGAGCATTGTGGATTTTGGTATCCATGGAGGGTTGTGGAACCAATCCACGGCTGTATTTGCTTTTGAGTAAGTGTGGGTGGGCAGAAATTTAACCCCTGTCCAAACCTTATCTTAGTTTTTGCTTCTAGTCTGTGTACAGGGCTCCCTTTTTTTGATTTTATGCAATTATCCCACCTGTGTGTCTCGGATTAGTAAAGTAAGCTTATCCTGATTAAACATTATAAAAAATTGTCTATTTTTGAAGTGCACATGTATGAATGGAGCTTAGATAATGTCTAGGAATATAGTGAATTCGAGTCAGCTCAAAGCAGGACTGTGCAAAAGTAGTTTCTCTGTTGCTCAATTGCTATCATTTTGTATATGAGATGGCTGCAGGAAAATACCAGCTTTCCTAGCTTTCCCAAGCTGTCAGGCCCCTTCTTTCAACACATCTGATGTTACATAAGAAAGGATGATTGTTCTGTTGGTTTCTAGATAAATAAGCCTTTTTCCCACCCAAGCCTAACAATGTTATTACCTCTTTTTGGTGAGGCTAATAGGGGTTCTCTTGTTTAAACACCAAATAGTTTTATGAGATTCGTTGAAAAAAATAATAAAGTTCTGTACTCCTCCTAACTCCTTCAAAACTACTAAATACTGTTATTTTAGTATTTATTTTAATTATTTTAAAATATCATACTTCTTGATTTTTTTTTTCTCCCAGTCTTAGACATTGATTGATTTGGTATTCATTTTTTTTTTTTTAAACACAGGTTGGGGATATACAATGGTGAGCATAATAGACATAGTGTTTGCTGTCATGGAGCTAGTAGGGGAGAGAGATTTAAATAAAAATCAATTAATATACAACTTAAGTTGTAATCAAGAAGAAAAGTATAAGATGTTATAATAAGGAAATGGCATATAAGCTAAAGAATAAGGTTTAATCAGGGTAAGATTGGAACAACAAGCGGATCAGAGGTAGAAGTACTCTTTTCTTTATGGTTAGACATTGATTTAGATGTCTTAAGTTTTTTTCTGTTTAAAGAATATTGATAAAAATATCTTTAGGTCATGTTATTTTGAGAGATCAATAAAAGTAAGACTCTTGATGGTTTGCCAAATTACATTCTTGCAAAGCCATGCCATTTGTATTTATAAATTCATTCACTCAGCAAAGATTTATTGATTGTCTCTTACATATCAGACTATGTTTAAGGTGCTGGGACAACACTGAGAAAAGCAAAGTCATTCTTGTTGTAGAATTTCCATCCTGGCAGGTGGGTTAGAGGGTGGGGGAGATAGATAATAAGCAAATATGTAGCATGTTAGATGGTGATAAGTGTTATGGTAGCCTGATGTTGCTATGCATTTCTGTTTT